AAATCTTCACTGGAGGCCAGACAGAAGGCCCTTCAGAGCTCGGGGCCCTGAGGTCTTGATGGCCCCGTGGCCACCACAAAACCACAGAAAGATCCAGATGCTAAGAAGGGGGAAGGGTAATTCCAAACATGGGATTTCTTTACTCCGTCAGCCGTCTGCGAAGCACTCAGTTTTCTGCAGCTACTTAATCTGGTATCTTTCCTCCCAATGGGGTGGCCAGTTCCTTCGAGGCAGGACCTTTAAGGTGAGGCTTGGGGATCCTCATCGCACATGGCCCCCAGCTGCGGCCCCTCACTTGTGATCACTGTCCACCAAACCCCAGGAAAGGGCTTTAGCATAGGTCTGCCTGGTCAGGAGCAGTGTCTATAGAGTGCCAGGGCTGGAGTGTGAAGTCCTAGCTGACCAGCTGGGGCAGGTGAGCCAGAGTGGGGAGGGCACGGATGACGTTCCCGTGTAGGCACTCATGCCTCCCGGCGCCCGTGCATGCGCTCTCTTCTTCTTGGAAAGCACTTCCCCTCTTCAAGTAAACTGGCTGTGACTCATCTCAGAAGTCACTTGGCTCCAAAGTCTTCGTGGACAGCCTCGGGGGGCCAATTAAAGAGAATCCAGAGGCCCCGCCAAAGCTCTCTGCTCAGTGATCGCCTGCCTGCCTGTCCCTGCAGATGCTGAGACAGGAGGAGTCCATGGGACTGGACTGGGTTTTGGTGACTGCATCTCTCAGGGCCCTGCATGGAGTCGATTGGGGGGACGGTTCAGCAGGGGGTGAGCCCAGCAGAGGGTTCTCTGTCACCACCTAGCCCCTCTCCGCAAATGCCGCCCCCACTTCCCATGCCCCCCAGCAGCAAGTTCAGCAGAGATTTCTAAACACTTCTGTCCTCACGGCTGCTCCACGGTGATCAGTCTTCCGAGGTTTAAAGACAAGAAGGGCTGGAGATACCACAGGAGAATTTTTTTTTCCCCTCAGAAGGGCTCCTTCAAACAAACACGACCCCTAAGATAAGAACCCAGAAGAGATATGACCACCTCGGTGGATAACAGAAATGACCCTGATACCGCATCAGTGACAGGACCATCTGCCATGCCCTCGGTCCAAATCTCTTAGTGTTTCCAGGGCATTCTAGCAGTGAGAACGCTCTTTGGTTCTGTCTGTTCAGACTGGCTGTTCTCAAATGTGGCCCCTGGATCAGGGGCATGAATATCACGTGGGAACTTGTTAGAAATGCAGGTTGCCAGGCCCCATCCCAGACCTACTGAAGCAAAGCTCTGGGGGCAGGGCCCAGGAACCTGAGTTTAAACAAGCCCTCCATCCAGGGACACTGATATGCACTGAAGTTTGAGAACCATCGTTTTGGACTCCAGCTGGTGACTTCCGTGTTAGAAAATGCAGTTCTAGAAGGTGACAAAACTATATAAAATGCTAGCCAACTTAGTACCTGAAGTCCCAGGAATACAAATCTTTCAATTGTATTCTCTCAGATTCTGCCTTATTGTTTGTGTCTCATGTCCTCCTGTTCTCACAGCTGATGCTCAGAGATACTTGTCGATCGATATCTAGTGGCTGACTTCGGAATATGTTAATTTTTCCATCTCTAAAATGGAAGGTACTTATTCACTGATTCATTATTTCATTTATCCAATTCATTCAAAGATTTATGGCTTAGCTTGAGTTGGCTCTGCCTATCAAATCAATATTTTGAAACTTTTGAAGCAATCTGCAGCATCACGTGAAGTAGTATTACTCTTTTTGTACAAACCTGACAAGGCTTTTTGTTGTTTTAGTCACCAAGTTGTCTGACTCTTTGTGACCCCGTGGACTGTAGCCCTCCAGGCTCCTCTGTCCATGGCTTTCCCAGGCAAGAATACTGGAGTGGGTTGCCATTTCCTTCTCCAGGGGATCGTCCTGACCCAGGGGTCAAACCCATGTCTCTTGCATTGGCAGGTGGGTTCTTTACCACTGAGCCATCTGGGAAAGCCCAACGGCGCTTTAGGTGTATGTTTTGATCTGTGGTGGATTAGGATTCTGGGGGCAGTAAACCATGCCACTGCTGTGTTCCCTTCAGTGCATTTTAGAGATCTACAGCGAAGGGATGTCTCAGTCTCAAAGGCCACAGAAGGACCTTGCATGTGTGGTTACACAGCCTGTCATGCTGCTCTGTGCTACACCAGGGTCAGTCCAGGCAGTCGAAGGCTTGTTGCTTAAGACTGAACGTGCATTCTTGGGCTGTGGTCTAAACAAAGCACAGCCTGGCCTGAGCTGCTCTGTGTGAATGAGTCTGTACACAAATAATGAGATCTGGATTGCAGAAACAACTATAACTCAAATTCAAGGGGAAAAAAATTATTTTAAATATGACTCTAGCCGTTTAGCCAGACCCAGACTGTGGCTGAACAAGGGCTCTGCCTGGACATGCATGCTAATTGGGAGGACCTGAGGAGCGCTTGCTCTCTGGCCTCCAGGGACACAGCTCGAGCCAACATGTCCCGAGGCCCAAGCTCCTCACAGGAAACTGCTGGGACAATGATGGGGCCTCCAGCCTTCAGCAGGAACCTGGGTCCTTGGACCTTGCACAGAGAGCTGGCCGAGTTCTCCATGGCCCCAGACTGACTGCCGTCGCATCCCTCCAGAGGTACCTGCCCCTGGGGCTGTCACCCTTGGTCCTGACCCTGGCCCTGCTGGGATTCCCTAGACAGAAAAGGCAGTTTGGGGTGCCTTGCTCCTTGTGCCAGGTTTGAGGAAACTGAATAGGACCTGGGGCTGTGTCCACCAGATGGGCGGGTGGCCTGGCGTAGGCGTCCACGTGTTGGGGCAGCAGGACCCAGGTGGGAACGGAATATATGGGGGAGGCAGAGCCGGGGAGCCACTTGCTTGCTTTCAAATGTCTGGGCATCACTGGAAAGGCTTGGAGGGGAGGGGCAGGAGAGGCTAGTTGGGTCAAGGTTGGGGCTTCAGGCAGAGCTGAGCAGCAGGAATCTGAGCAGGAGGTGCCCAGATGTGCACTTCAAAGTTTACAATTGAAAATGAGGGGAGAAGCTCACATGTCATCCAATTCAGGGATGCCAGACCTGTGCCCTCCCCTCCCTCTTCCCTCACCCAAGACAGAGGTCACTATTGGATCCTGTTAGTGACCTGGTTTTTCTAGTAGTCATGTACAGATGTGAGAGCTGGACCATAAAGGCTGAGCGCTAAAGAACTGATGCTTTCGAACTGTGGCGCTGGAGAAATCTCTTGAGACAGCGAGGAGATGAAACCAGTCAATCCTAAAGGAAATCAACCCTGAATATCCATTGGAAGGATTGATGCTGAAGCCGAAGCTTCCAATACTTTGGTCACTTGATGTGAAGAGACGACTCATTGGAAGAGACCCTGATGCTGGGAAAGACTGAGGGCAGAAGAAGAAGGGGGCAACAGGATGAGATGGTATGGGGTTGCAAACAGTCGGACATGACTTAGCGACTGAACAACAACAATGGACCCCAGCGCTCTTCCCTACTAAGCCAGTAGACATCTCCCTATCTGCAAAGCCACAGCCAAGTCACAACTAAGAATTGCTCAGAGTCTGCAGATGAATGAAATCTCATGACCTTCCTTCATCTGCACTAATACAGCAACTCTATGAATGAGGAAGACTTAACAACAACGCACTGAGTCTTCACAACAGCTCCGGGAGAGACGGGCCGTGACAGCCTCATGTGGGAGGCGAGGAGATGGCCACCTGAGAAAGTGAGGTTCTGTTCTGAAGGGCAAAAGCTAAGCGGGGAAGGGGGCGCCTGGGTTCCAAACCCAGGCCCCCTCCCTCAGGGCCACTGTTGCCTCCCACTTGCAAGAGACTCTGGTATCAGGTTCGTCACAGAACAGACCGGCAAGTACACGTTAGGATATTATATTTGCAGATTCGTGAGACTCCGCCATTACAGGATATTAAAGCCTCTCTAAGAGACCATCCAGTGAAGGTGTCCTGGCCTTTGTGAGCTCGCCAGGATGGAGTGTAAGGGCTTTTATGAAAGTCTCAGGGATGTGGCTTCTGGGGCAACGGTTTATGGTCACCGGCCTTCTGATCACTCATTTGAAAAATATGTACTTACACAGACGGCAAGAAACCTCACCACTTCCTTCCTAAGTGTCGGTCAGGAACACTAATTACTTGACTAATTAGACTGTGAAACTTCCCTTACAGATGGTAAGAAGGACCTATTTTCACCCCACAAATTTAGCCGTGAGTGACATCCCAGCCAAAAACCTGGAGGAGCGTTTCAATGGTTTTATTGTAGACAGCATGAACAATTTAAGCAAATCATATAAAAATAAATTAGAAACTAATGAAAATAGTCTGTCCTCTCTGAAGAGGGGGAAATGACCTGGTTCTGGGGGAGGCAGGAACCTGCTGACGGGGCTGCGTCTGCTGAGCCAGGCGGGCGGGGGCCCAGCCCCGACACCTCCTCGGGATGTGGGCCGACCCGCCGCAGACAGGCCTCACTTGGCTCCTGATTTTCAGGCACTTCCTTCTCATTCTACGTGTCGTCCTGTTCCCTCCCAGCCGTTCTCTATACAGAGAACGTCTGCTCACCCAGCAGCCAGGCCGCGCGGTCGCCCTGCAGCTCTGCACTAGCGCTTCCCACGGCCACATTCGTGCTCTTGCCAAAGGACCACTGTTGTTGTTCAGCTGCTACGTCCTCTCCGACTCTTTGCAACCCCATGGACTGTAGCTCACCAGGCTCCTCTGTCCATGGGATTCTCCAGGCAAGAATACTGGGGTGGGCTGCTATTTCCTCCTCCAGATTCAGGGATCAAACCCGTGTCTCCTGCATTGGCAGGTGGATTCTTTACCACTGAGCCACCAGGGAAGCCCCTGGCAAAGAACTAGCACAGAATAAAACATCTACCACCAAGTACCGCAGCCCAGGGAAGGAAGCGGGCTCTGACTCGCGGTGGCCGCCTGTGGAAGCTGGCGCGGGGGGCACCCACACCTTGGGCCTGTGGAGAAAGAGGCTGAAACACTCACCAGCATCCAGGCTGCCCGTGGCCGCGGTCCAGCCCATGACGGGGGGGATGGCCCCCACGACCGCCCCCACCCACGTGTTGGCGATGCTGACCCTCTTGAGCGGGGTGTAGCAGCAGGTGTATAGGAAAATGTTGAAGAGGCCCAGGGCGCCCGTGAGCGGGTTCACGCCCCAGGTCAGCAGGGCGACTCCGGGAACCGCACAGCCTGTGGCGAAGGACACGGCAAGCAGCGGGCTGGAAGAGAGAGCAGAGAACACAGCGCTGTCAGGGGTCAGCTCCGGCGGCCAGCGTGTGGGTCAGAGCCGAGCAGGGGCGATCAGGCCCGGGGCCGGGGGCAAGCTGGGGGCAGCGCTGGCCTGGCCTCCGCCTGGGCCCAGGACATTCTCTGGATGTCATTTAACACGAGGAGGGACTTGCCTGCCAGAGTGCGGCTGCTCCTCCTGTATTTGCCAATTGGGGCTCACAAAGCGAGGAGGGTGGAGGCCTCCAAACCCTGGGTTTGAAGGGAGGCCCTGCCCCACCCCTCCCTGGCCGGGGATTGTCCTGACCCCGCCACGCTCATTTGGGCAGGAGCGACGACGGCCCCCTCCTCCCCGGGCTGAGGGGAGATCCGCCTGATACGTGCCTGTTCTGCACACAGTTAGGCTGGGCAGCTGGTGGGAAGCAAGTGGTTGTGACGGATGAAGCCCTCGGAACCCAGAATTTAAGATCTGGGCACAACCAGCATCTTACTTCTGGCAGAGTTCTCCCCATTTATTTATCCTTTGTTTAAAAACACCGCCCAGTTAGCAATAATGGGTAAGACTAGCGTGTCTGAGTGCACCTCTGTGTAATAAATTACCGGCTTGACATGCACCAGCTCCATGCAGTGAGGATGCTGTCTGCAGTGACAGCACTTCCTGGGCCGGAGCACAGTTTATAGACACGGGACTTTCAAAAGAGGTAGCACAAGGCTGTATGTCAAATAAACGTCTACAGCATAAAGATGACCGCAAGCCTGGTCCTATCAGAGTCCGCTTTCTGAAGTGGACTTTGTGTGGCATCTTTGAAAGGCTTTGAGGGAGCCTGGATGAACTGGGTCCACCAGTACCTGCCTGTCCTCATTCTTCCCGAAGCAATCTAAGCCGGTGCTCGAGCCTGCTTCCCCGAGGAGAAGCCACAGTTCACTCCCGGCCCCAGCATGTGTCCACGGGGACCCGGGAGTCGCCAGTGCGCAGCTCCGAGGGTCTCTGGTTTTGGCGAGGCCATCAGGGCGAGGGCGGCTGTCTGTCCTCTGCAGGCATGGCCTATGCCTGGGCACTGCCCGCCTGCCTCTCAAGGGACAAGGCGAGCTGGGGTGGGCAGGAGGGCAGCCGAGCCCACCTGCCGGAGACCAGGGTGCCGAGGTGCTGACATGTGAAGGGGGTAGGACCCTCACAGAGCCCTGGCTCCCACGCCGACCTGGGGAGCAGCACTGACCCCTCTCGCCCAGGCTATGACTGCTTGGGCCTGCAGGTGGAACTCAATGAAATGGGAGTCTTGATGGAAACAGAGAATACCCGAGGGCGATGCTGTTGTCCTGGCGACAGTGATGGAGACCCTCTAGCCGCACCCGAGACTTGGAGCGTGTTCAACCTGAGGGAATCACCATCCCCTTCCCCCGACCTCCTTGGCATCTCGCATCTGTGATGCCCCCGAGGGGCCGCTCGAGCTGCCCTGTCCTCCCTCCGTCCCTCCCACCCAAAGACCCAGAGCTGGGGCTCCTCCAGGGCTCATCTCCCTTCCTGGCTCTCAGAGTGATGGTGGCAGCGCCTCTCCTGCCTTCTCAGACTCCGGCCCTTCAGGAGACAGCTGTCGCTCTCCTGTAAGAGTGACAGATGCCCTCATCTCAACTTCTTCCCCCCATTTTCTCTCTCACTTTTCAAGGTAGACTCTCCACTTTTGCTCTTGGGTAAGCCCCTCCCTGGTCCGGCTTTTCCCTTCTGCCTCCACGGCTACTGAGCACCTGCGTCGTCACCTCAGTGGCCTGTGTGCCTTCCCCCAAGGATCCGGCCATCCCCTCCGAGCCCCAGCCTGCCCACAGAGCGACTCTGCCCGCTGTTGTACCCCCTGCTGCCTCCCTCTGGTCCCGACACCATGGAGCTGGACTCCCTGGTGTTCCTGGGCAGGAAACACAGCCTTCCAGAGGCAAGGGGAGGGGGCTGCCTGGGCTCACTTCTCACACTGCTCTAGAAAGAAGACCCGAGATGGCTGAAAAGCAGGGCAAGCATTATATCTGCTCTTCTTTCAATCAGGCAGTTTATAGCTTATAAGAAAGATATTTTTTTCCCCAATGGCACTCTAAAAAGCTAATTTTATTTTGGGTGGGAGAAAAATGTGGCTCATAAACATTTTTATTTTTCCTGAGTTGGACCTTGTGTTAAAAAAAAAAAAGGGAAGAAAGACTGTTCACTCCTTCTTCAAGGGCTCTGGAAGCCCATCAATTCAAAGGTATTAGTGTTATGAAAACCCACTCCAGTGTTCTTGCCTGGAGAATCCCAGGGACGGGGGAGCCTGGTGGGCTGCCGTCTATGGGGTCACACAGGGTCGGACACGACTGAAGTGACTCAGCAGCAGCAGCAGCATTATGAAAAGACCTTTCACTAAAGCACATTTGAATTTAATTGATTGAGATAGGTGATTTTACCCAGAAGTTTAGTTTCTGACCATTGTCAGAATCACAGAGAATCATGAGGTTCAAGCTTGTGTTTAAATCTGTGCTCAGGGGCACAAATGAAAACTGGGGAGGCTGACAAGACATGTAAACAAGAATGAGGGTATTTACCCAGGAAGCCATGACCATTCTCAGCACCTGGATCCTTGGGGAACCCACTTCCTGCTGGTTCAAGGAGCCGGGGTTGGCTCATGTTGTGGGCAAAGGTACTCCAGTGGCTAATTCTGTGAAGTTTATTTTCCTGTGGTTTACTTTTCATAAGCATATATGTTTATCAACAGAGAGGTGGATAAAGAAGATGCTTTATACACACACACACACACACACACACACAAACACAATGGAATATTACTCAGCCATAAAAGAGAATAAAAGAATACCACTTGCAGCAACATCAATGGACGTAGAGATTATTGTACTAAGTGAGGTAAGTCAGACAGAGAAAGACAAATACCATACGATACCACGTACACGTGGAATCTAAAAAAAAAATGATACAGACAAACTTATTTACAAAACAGAAATAGAGTACAGAGGTAGAAAAGAAACTTATGGTCATCAGGGGATGGAGGGGGAGGGATAAACTGGGAGACCGGGACTGACATGTTCTCACTACTGTATGTAAGCTGGGTAACATAAGAACCTACTGAGCAGCACAGGGAATTCTCCTCAGGGCTCTGTAATGGCCTATGTGGGAAAAGAACCTTAAAAAAGAGTGAATATATGTATATGTATAACTGATTCACTTGGCAGTAAACCTGACACTAACACAACATTATAGACCAACTATACTCCAATGAAAACTTTAAAAAAATCAAATAAAAAGTATGTATTCTCACCCTACATTTGAGAAAGGGGGGGGGTAAAAACCATGTTATAAAAGTAACATATATTCACTTCAGAACATTTAGAACTAAATTTAGAAAATCACACAAAATATTCTAAATTAGCTATTCAAAGAAACATGTTGGTTTATATCTTTCTAGCTTTTTTCCCAATGATATGTCTACTTTAAAAACAACTGAGAATACAGTGAACTGTGGCTTTATTATTCTATTTTCAATATCTCTTAATAATTTCCCTATGCCATTAAGAATTACTGTACATCATTATTATTAATGGGGCTTCCCTGATAGCTCAGATGGTAAAGAATCCGCCTGCAATGTAGGAGACCTGCAAAGTAGGGTCAGGAAGATCCACTGGAGAAGGGATAGGCTAACCACTCCAGTATTCTTGGGCTTCTCCTGTGGCTCAGCTGGTAAAGAATCCTCCTGCAATTATCATTAATAGCTACATGGCCTATTTGGTGGGCAGGCCATGATAAATTCAATCAGTATGTCCACTTAGTATTTTTTCATTGTTTTAATTAGAAATAATGTTGGGATGAATATGTTACAGACAGGTCAGTGTTTACAGCTCTGATTATGATAAATTCTGAGACTAGGTTCCCAGGTCACCGGGGCAGATGACGTGCACAGTTTTAGGGGTTTTGACTTGTACCCCAGCCTGTACTTGAGAGTTTATACTCTTTGTCTCCCTCCCAGTGGTGTATGAGAAAGTCTGTTCCCAGGATCTGTATCAACACTGGGCGTGAGATTCAAAACAAAACAAAACAAAACAACAAACTCAAACAAATTCGCTGAGACAGTCTTATCCCCATTTTACAGATAAAAACAGATTCGGAACCAGGACCTGTACTCAGACTTCCTGATGGTCTCATTCATGTACCCTGGGGGTTCCCCTCTAACCAGTACGTGGGGGACACTAGTCTAATGCCACTTACTGATTACTTCTGGGGTCTGCTGGGGTCTTTAGGCAGTGGCCTTTGGCTCGGAGCAGCCTCCTGTGGAATCACAGTTCCTTTAGTTCACACCACTGCATACGTAGCCTAACTTCCTACTGCGTCCCCTGAGATGGAAATGACTGGGAGGCACAAATTATTTCATAAAAAGGGACAGACTTGGGATGTAATACACTGTGCAAGACAGACATGGTCTTCATCCTGGGGGTGATTATCCTGGGGTGGGAGACAGTAAGATAGGCAGGACAATTGGGTGGGGAGCAAGCCGCCAGGGAGCAGGAACCCAGTTCTGGGGTAGCAGGGGTTTGGGGTGGACACAGGAGGTTCAGGGACTTTTAAGCCAAGCCTGGATAGACAGATGGGGGGCAGGCAGAGGGTGGGGAAGCGTGTTTCAGGGGTGGGAGGGGTCAGAGAGCATAGGTTGTGGAGGCCATGGGGAGGCCTCTGGACAGAAGTCCTTTCTGCTGCTTAAATTAAGGAAGAAAAGGGTCTGACCTGCTTCTGAGAAGGAGCCCCCTGCCTGCTAGGGGGGACACCATTCACTTCCCTTTCAGAAGAAGTCCACATTAGGTGCTTTTTTTGAGGAAAGTGACTTGCCATCACCACACTATACAATTTTTATCACATGCTCACTTGGGAGAGGGCTTCCTATGGCTCAGATGGTAAAGAATCTGCCTAAAATGCAGGAGATTCGGGCTTGATTCCTGGGTCAGGAAGATCCCCTGGAGTAGGGCATGGCAA